CTGAAATACTTTTATTGTATAGGATTGTTTTAGCTTTCCTGGGTTTTTTTGTTTTTCCATATAAAGTTGATTATTCTCAAGGTCTGTGAAGAATTCTGTTGGGAATTTGATGTGGATTGCATTGAATCTATAGATTGCTTTTGGTAGAATTGCCATTTTTACCATGTTGATCCTCCCAATCAAGAGCATGGGAGATCCTTCTATTTTCTGATATACTCTTCAATTTCTTTCTTCAAAGATATAAAGTTCTTGTCAAATAGATCTTTTACTTCCTTGGTTAGTGTTTCCCCAAGACACTTTATGCTATTTGTGGCTAATCGAGAAAGGTGATGTTTCTCTGATTTCCCTCTCTGCTTCTTTGTTCTTTGTGTATAGAAGGGCTGCTGATTTTTTGGAGTTGATCTTGTATCCTGCCACATTGCTAAAGGTGTTTATAAGCTGTAGGATTTTTTTGGTCGAGTTTTTGAGGTCGCTTATGTACAGTAGCATATCATCTGCAAATAATGAAAGTTTGACATCTTCCTTTCCAATTTGAATCCCCTTGATCTCCTTATGTTGTCTTATTGCTATTGCTAGAACTTCAAGCACTGTAGAAGGAGCTGCGGGCAGGCCTGCTTTTCGTCCCACCTGGCTCCCACATGGTTAGCTTTACACCCAAAATAATTACACAGAAACTGTATTCTTTTAACCACTGCCTGGCCCATTAGCTCTAGCCTCTTACTGGCTAACTCTCACATCTTGATTAACCCATTTCTAATAATCTGTGTAGCACCACAAAGTGGTATCTTAACGGGAAAGATTTAGCATGTCTGACCTGGCGGCTGGCTCCATCGCGTCTGTCTCCCTTCCCTTCTTCCCAGCATTCTGTTCTGTCTACTCCACCTACCTAATTTTCTGTCCTATCAAAGGGGCAAGGCAGTTTCTTTATTAACCAATGAAAGTAGAAGACCCATTTACATCAAAGCACTATATTGAAGAGGTATGAAGAGAGTTGACACCCTTGTCTTGTTCCTGATTTTAGTGGAATGTCTTTGAGTTTCTCTCCAATTAATTTGATGTTAGCTATCGGCTTGCTGTATATTGCTTTTATTATATTTAGGTATGAACCTTGTGTCCCTAATCTCTCCAAGACCTTTATCATAAAGGGTTGTTGAATTTTGTCAAATGCTTTTTCAGCATCTATTGAAATGATCTTATTGTTTTCTCTGTCAGTTTATTTATATGATGGATTACATTGATAGGTTTTCATATGTTGAACCAGCCCTGCATCTCTGGGATGAAGTTTACTTGATCATAATGTATAATTTTTCGGATGTGTTCTTGGATTCAGTTTGTCAGTATTTTATTGAGAATTTTTGTGTCAATGTTCATGAGTGAGATTGGTCTGTAATTCTCTTTCTTGGTTGAGTCTTTGTTTGGTTTTGGTATCAGGGTAACTGTAGCTTCATAAAAGGAGTTTGGCAATGACTCTTCTGTTTCTGTTTTGTGAAACACATTAAGGAGTATAGGTATTAGCTCTTCTTGGAAGTTCTGATAGAATTCTGCATTAAAACTATCTGGTCCTGAGCTTGTTTTGGTAGGGTGGTTTTTGTTGACAGCTTCTAATTCCTCTCGACTTACAAGTCTATTTAAATTGTTCAGCTGGTCTTGATTTAATTTTTGTATATGGTACTTATCTAAAAAAAATGTCCATTTCATTCACATTTTCCATTTTTGTGGCATACAGACATTTGTAGTAAGATCTAATGATTCTATGAATTTCCTCTGTGTCTGTGGTTATAAACCCATTTTCATTTTTGATCTTGTTAATTTGCGTGTCTCTCTCTGGCAGTTGATTAGTTTGGATAGGGGCTTGTCAATCTTGTTGATTTTCTCCAAGAACCAACTTTTTGTTTCATTGATTCTTTGGATTGTTTTCTGTGTTTCTACTTTGTTGATTTCAGCCCCCAGTTTGATTATTTCCAGTCTTCTACTCTTCCTGGGTGAGTCTGCTTCTTTTTCTTTCTTGAGCTTTCAGGTGTGCTGTTAAGTCTCTAATGTGAGCTTTCTCCATTTTCCTTATGTGGCACTTAGTGCTGTGAACTTTCCTCTTAGCACTGCTTTCATAGTGTCCCATAGGTGTGGGTATGTTGTGTCTTTATTTTCGTTGAATTCAAGGAAGACTTAATTTCTTTATTTCTTCCTTGACCCAGGGTTGCCTCAGTAGTTGACTGTTCAGTTTCCTTGAATTTGTATGCTTTCTGGGGGTAGAATTGTTGTTGAATTTTAACTTTATTCCATGGTGATCCGATAGTACACAGGTTGTTACTGCAATTTCTTTGTATCTGTGCATGGTTGCTTTGTTACTGATAATATGATCAATTTTTAGATGATTCTATGAGATGCTGAGAAGAAGCTATATTCTTTTCTGTTTGGGTGGACGTTCTATAGATGTCTGTTAAGTCCATTGGGTTCATTACATCTTTTAGTTCTCTTATTTCTCTGTTAAGTTTCTGTCTGTTTTACCTGTTCATTTGTGAGAGAGGAGTGTTGAAATCTTCTACTATTAGAATTAGGGTTTGATGCATGCTTTGAGTTCTAGTAATGTTTCTTTTACATATGTGGGTGCTTTTATATTAGGGGCATAGATATTCAAGTTCGAGACTTCCTATTAATGAATTGTTCCTGTTATGAGTATAAAGTGTCCTTCTCCAGCTCTTCTGATTGCTTCTAGTTTGAAATCAATTTTGTTAGATATTACTATAGCCACATCCGCTTGTTTCTTTGGTCCATTTGATTGGAAAACCTTTTCCCAACCCTTTACTCTGAATAGATGTCTGTCTTTGAGGTTGAGGTGTGTTTCCTGTAAACAGCAGAGTGTTGGATCCTGTTTTCGCATCCATTTTCTTAACCTGTGCCTTTTTATAGGTGAGTTGAATCCATTGATATTAAGTGATCATAATCACCAGTTGTTGTTAACTCCTGTTATTTTTTTTCTGGTTGTAGTGTTTGTGTGTTTCCCTTCTTTGAGTTGTGGTGCTGGAGGATTGTCAGATGCTTGTGTTATTATCAGTATTGTTGGCTTCCTTGGTTTGTGGTTTTCCTTCTAGTATTTTCTGTAAGGCTGGGGTTTGTGGCTACATATTGTTTAAATCTGTTTTTGTCTTGGAATATCTTGTTTTCTCCATCGATGGTGAATGCAAGTTTTGCTGGGTGTAGAAGTCTGGGCTTACATCCACGGTCTCTTAGTGTCTGCAGCACATCTATCCAAGACCTGCTGTCTTTCATGATTTCCTTTAAGAAGTCAGGTGTAATTTTGATAGGTTTCCTTTATATGTTATTTGACCTCTTTCCCTTGCAGCTCTTAATATTCTTTCTTTATTCAGTATGTTTTGTGTTTTGATTATTATATGGCTAGGGGATTTTTTTTTTTTTGATCCAGTCTGTTTTGTGTTCTGTATGCTTCTTGTACCTTCATAGGAATATCCTTCTTTAGGTTGGGAAAGTTTTCTTCTATAATTTTGTTGAATATATTTTCTGGGCCTTTGAGCTGTAATTCTTCTTCTTCTACCAATATTTTTCTTAGGTTTGGTCCTTTCATGGTGTCCCAGATTTCCTGGATGTTTTAAGAATTCGTTGGATTTGCTGTTTCTTTGATGAATGAGTTTATTTCTTCTATAGTATCTTCAGTGTCTGAGATTCTTTCTTCTATCTCTTGTATTCTGTTGGTTATACTTGTCTCTGTAGTTCGTGTTCCTTTACCTATATTTTCCATATCCAGCCTTCCCTTGTTTTGTGTTTTCTTCATTACAACCATTTCATTTTTTAAGTCTTGATTTGTTTCCATTACCTGTTCGATTGCTTTTTCTTGGTTTTCTTGGGTATCTTTGAGAAATTTATTCATTTCTTTTCCCATTTTGTTTGTGTTCTTCGTTTCTTTTTTTTTTCTTTTTTTTTTTTTTTTTTGGTTTGTTTTTCGAGACAGGGTTTCTCTGGTTTTGGAGCCTGTCCTGGAACTAGCTCTTGTAGACCAGGCTGGTCTCGAACTCACAGAGATCCGTCTGCCTCTGCCTCCCGAGTGCTGGGATTAAAGGCGTGCGCCACCACCGCCTGGCTGTTCTTCGTTTCTTTAAAGCAGTTTTTCACATCCTGTGTAAGGTCTTCTATTATTTTCATAATGTTACGTTAAAAGTCAATTTCTTTTAATTCTTCTGGAATAGGGTGTTCAAGTTTTCTTGTTATGTGATCCCTGGATTCTGGTATTTTCATGTTGCCTTTCAGGTTGTTGGAGGAATTCTTGCATGGCGCATGCCCATCCCTTCCTTGAAATGCAGCCAGGAGAGTTGGCAGCTCTGTCCAATTTTTGCTGTGACTGACTCTCTGGGTGGATCTCCTCAGTGCTGGAGCAGGAACTGTTCCAGGGATAAGGACCTCACAAACAATAGGGCAGGCTCAGGGGAGGCAGGGTCACATGGAACAAAGAAGCCCCTGCAGCAAGAGCTGGAGGGGCCCTGTGCTCCGTTCTGGGATTGTCCATTCTGGGATTGTCCGCTCTGGGATGGCACACACTCACCCATCTGGATGAATCTCCTCAGCACAAGAACAGGGACCCTTGGAATTCCAAGGAACCCGCAGACAAAAGAGTAAACTTGGGGGGGTGGGGCAGGGTCAAAGGCATGAGCCAATGCACACAGCTTGCCCATCTTATCTTCTTGTTTTTTTTAAGTTGGAATTAATTTTTCATACAGTTTCTCTCATGTACTCTGTGCTGTTGATCTATTTATTTGTCTGTGTTTTATAATAAAATTTTTGCAAGGTGATACTCCATTCAAAGGGTATAGAAATGATAAAGGTGAACCTTTTATTCAGTTTCCTTATAAAGTTACTTGGTTATTCAATTTTGTCCTTGTTATGGAATTATTGTAGACAGTGCTAGAACCTTATGACTGTAGTGTCAGTGAAACATGTACAATATTGTCAGTATTGTGCTTTCTTTTGTATACATGTATGGGATATTTAAGAATGCAATTACCTATGGTGATGTGCATGTTGACGTCACTTGGGAAGAATGGACTTTGCTGGAACCTTCCCAGAAGAATCTCTACAAAGATGTGATGCTAGAGACCTACAGGAACCTCCTTATCATTGGTAAGCCAAAATTTTTCCTCAGAATTTAAAATAAGTGGACAATTATTATTTAATTATTGATGGTCTTCTCTAATTTAATTGTTAAAGAAGAAGAATTGAGTGAATAAATCAAGCAGGGTTTGAGGTTCATTAATGATAGTAACTAAAATTTTGTACAATTTTCAATAGTAATTTTCTTGAATTATATTTTAGGATACAGTTGGGAAGACCATACTACTGAACAACATTGTCATCTTTCTACATGGCATGAAAGGTAACTTACATGTGAAAACTGATACAAATGTGCCTCTGAAGAAATTGTATTTTGTCCTGGAAGTTTTTATCAGAAGCAATAGTGTAAATAGGAACACTTTAAAGTATATCACTGATTATTAAATTCTCACAAGTCTATAAACTGTAATTTCAGGTAGGTGAATTACATGTGCATGGCATTCTTTAAGAAAGAAGTCAAGGAAACAATTTCTTAGCTGATATCACCATTTTAATGGTAGCAGTAAGAGAGCTATGCAGTCAAACTGTCAATGCATTTATTTAATTTCACTCATATTACAAAATTTATACATATTACAGAGGTGATAAGTATATATTCAGGTCTTGCTAATATACAAATAATTCATAACTAATATACTTGTTGGGACTGTGCTAAATTTAGTGAGGGGTCAATTAGAATCAAGGATCAAGGGTCACTTATGGAGAAGCCTTAATCTCTATGAGTACAGAAAGTCATACTGTGTGAATTCAATATGGAAGTCTTTTATTATTCTTTTACTTAGTATATCATATGTTACTCCAAAATCAAGACATCTGAGCATACATATATGTAATGACAAAACACAATTCTTTCTCAGAACTATTAGACGATACATAGCAATTCCCATGTTTAGTATATTTGTTGAGTTTGATTCAAGTATACAAGTAATTTTTTTCCAGTTTTACCATTAATACATCAGCAAATGCACATTACAGAAAAGCTACATCAGTACTAAGACTTTGTAAATACTTTTGTTCATCCTAGGTCACATAGCAAATGTCATATCACTCACAGAATAGGAAACTTTATGAATGCAGTAAGCATGGTAAAACTCTGAGTTTTTCCAGTTCTCCTCATATATTTGCATAATCATGTATATAAAAAAAGGTTCTGTAAATATGAACCATGTAAAAAAGGATCTTATCATCAGAGATATCCTCAAAAATGCAAAGCAACACCTAATGAAGGGGAACGACATGAGTGTAAACACAGTAATAAAACCATAAGATCTAATTCTTATTTATAATTGGACCAAATTGTAAAATTAATTCATACAGATATAAACATTCAACAGTATATTGAATGTAATAATGCTTTTATATGTTCTATTATACTTGCAGGAAGGAAACAAGTAACACTGGAGAAAAACCGTCTTTATCTACTCAGTGTCTTAAAGCCCTTCCTTATGACAGTCATCTTCAAAGGCATAAAAGAACAAATCCTAGCGAGAAACACTATGAATGTAATCAGTGTGGTAAAGCCTTTGTACGTCTCAATCATCTTCAAATGCATAAAAGAACACATACTGGAAAGAAACTATATGGATGTAATGAATGTGATAAAGCCTTTTCACGTATCAGTGATCTTCAAAGGCATATAATAAGGCATACTGAAGAGAAACGCTATGAATGTAATCTGTGTGGTAAAGCCTTTGCATATCACAGTCATCTTCAAAGGCATAAAAGATCCCATACTGGAGAGAAACCCTACGAATGTAATCAGTGTGGTAAAGCCTTTCCATTCCAGTGTAATCTCCGAATACACGAAAGAATGCATACTGGAGAAAAGCCCTATGAATGTAATCAGTGTGGTAAAGCCTTTATATATGACAGTGTTTTTAAAAGGCATAAAAGAACCCATACCGGAGAGAAACCCTATGAATGTAATCAGTGTGGTAAAGGCTTTGCATGTATCAGTGATCTTCAACAGCATAAAATAAGACATACTGGAGAGAAACCCTATGAATGTAATCAGTGTGGTAAAGCCTTTGTATGTATCGTTGATCTTCAAAGGCATATAAGAACACATACTGGAGAGAAACCCTATGAATGTAATCAGTGTGGAAAAGCCTTTGCGTATCACAGTTATCTTCACATGCATAAAAGAACACATACTGGAGAGAAACCTTATGAATGTAATCAGTGTGGTAAAGCCTTTGCGTATCACAGTTATCTTAACATGCATATAAGAACACATACTGGAGAGAAACCTTATGAATGTAATCAGTGTGGTAAAGCCTTTGCATGGCACAGTGGGCTCAAAATACATGAAAGAACGCATACTGGAGAAAAACCCTATGAATGTAATCAGTGTGGTAAAGCCTTTGCATGTCACCGTGCGATCAAAATACATCTAAGAACACATACTGGAGAAAAGCCATATGAATGTAATCAGTGTGGTAAAGCCTTTGCACGTCATAGTAATCTTTACGTTCATAAAAGAACACATACTGGAGAGAAACCCTATGAGTGAAATCAGTGTGGTAAAGCCTTTGCAAGTCAAGGTTATCTTCACATTCATAAAAGAACATTTCCTGGAGAGAAACCCTATGAATGTAGTCAGTGTGGTAAAATTTTTGTTTGTCAAAATAGTCTCTGAACACATGAAAGAAATCATACTAGAGTGAAATCCTATGAATATAATCAATGTGGTAAAGCCTTTTGCCCATGACAGTACTCTTCAACAGCATAAAAGGACACATACTTTTATAAGTTTGGTAAAGGATGATATCACAGTCATCTTCAAGGCATTAAAGAACACATACTGGAGTAAAAACCCTACAAATGTATGTGTTAAAACTTTTGCTCATTGTGGAGGCCTGAAAATGTGAGCCTGTTTCCAAGTTGAACAAAGATCAGAGAGTTGGGACTTTCCTCTAGTTCCTTCATGATTATTGTGCTTTTACCTCAAACAAATGCTCCACCTCGATATAGTTCCAGGAGTTTTGCTCTCTCAAGGTTATTGTCAACAAGTGTCTCTAATTGCCAGACCTTCTACTCCGGGAATAGAAAAGTAGATCAGTTCCTGCCTCAAACAAAAGTCTAAGGATTCAAATTAGTTCCAGTTCCCAGTATGTAGATAACTTCGTATTCCATAGAGGGAGTGGTTTGCCTACAGAATGTTTTGGTCTAAGGTGTAAGTGTGACTTGTTTCGTTCTAGCAACAGAATTTTTAACTATGAATGTAGACTGCAAATTTCAATTGTATGTTCATTTCCTTGTATCATGTTAATGTAGTCTTTTGTCTTACTCCTAACTTTGGGGTCAAGGTTATTTTAAGCAGTTGGAAATTAAATGAAGGTGAATTTTCAGGACTCACTGGTATTCCCTCCCAATACTATTCTATGTGTTTCTCCATTTTATTCTTTTCATTTGAATCTTCATATTCTCTAATATATTTCTAGTACCCATGCCGTTACCCTGAAGAGAGGGTTTTGTTGTTATAGTTGTTGAGGATGGTCCCAGACAGCTCATCACAGTCAACTTCAAAAGATAATTGAAAATACACTGGAAAGAAAGTATATGAATTCATTCAGTATGGTAAAGCTTTTGCATGTAAAAAGTCTTCAGTGTCATGAGATAAAATCATACTACAGATAAACCCTGTAAATGTAGTCAGTGTGCTAAAGTTTTACACTTTATAAAGGAGTGAAACTTTTTGTATGTAATTAATCCGTTAAAGCATTTGCATATTACAATAGTCTTTGACTATCTGAAAAAGATACTGAGGTCTTCTTATTATAAATTACCTGTTAAAATTTTTATCCAGCACACATATAATCAGTTACAGAAGAGTATTAATTCTGTAGAAAAACCTGACAGTGTCAAAAAGGGTTCAAATATTATGATATCCTTTTTTATATTGTATGTACCCACATACTCATGGAACAAATGAACATATGAAGCCCTATGTGTAGAGTAAAAGGGCCAGACAAAGAAACACACCCTGAAACTGAATCCAGAACCAGTGAAAAACACAAAATTTGACTGCCCCAAACCTGGGCCTAATGAGACACACCCACACTCCTAAGCCAGAGCCAAATAAACACGCTTAGTCCCTGTATCCAGAGCCAGTGAAAGAAACACCCTGACGCTGAAATCAAACCCAAAATGTGAATAGGGGCCATTGGAAAAAATACACATTGACCCTGAAACCAGATCCAAAGTAACACTCTGCCCTTGACCAACTGATCACAAATCAACTAATCCCTGAGTTCAAAGCCAACCAATTCCAGAGCCCAAAATCCATTAAGTCTCAACTTTTAAAACTCAGGGATTGAAATCTGATGACTTCCCACCCTGAAAACCTTCTACCTGGAAAATCTCTGTTCGTATATAAGCCCTGTGCCCAATCTATTGGCAAGATCTCTTTTCTACCGTGGCAGAGGCAGCCAGTTTTCTAGATTAACCACCTTTAAATAAATCTTTTGAATGAGTATTGGGTTAAGACCTTTCCCCTGAGCAATGATAAACTCCCTAGTTGTTTGGAGTAGAGAAGCAGTGGACAACTTTGCTGGTAAGCTCCCTTAAAGGAACAAAGCACTACCATTTTGTGGGAGACTGCTATATTTTTGCAGCAGTTCCCCCCTTACTTAAGTGAAGAAGCCAGGTGGTAGTGGCACATGCATTTAATCCCAGCACTCAGGAAAGAGGCAGGCACATCTCTGTGAGTTAAAGGCCAGCCTGGTCTACAAATGTTTGTTCCAGGACAGGCTCCAAAAATTACAGAGAAACACTGTTTCGAAAAACCAAAGGGGAAAAAAAAAAAACTAAAACCAAACAAACAAAACAAGTGAAGCATAGAAATAACAATTTGGCTTGGAACTGAGATGAAATAGACAACTTTGCTAGGAAACTCTCTAGTGGAACAGAACAGAGAAGCACTGGACAATTCTGCTGGGAACCTCCCGTAGGGGAGTGGATCAGAGCAGCAATGAATATCTCTGCTGGGAAACTCTTAGCAGATTGAAACCAGGCCCAGCTGTAAAGGCTCTCTTTTGGTGAGAAGAGGAATTACTGCACCCTGTGGAGGGAGCATTCCCCACTGGAACAGATTCAGATATAGCCTGATACTGAGGATATTTTCCCCGCACATCTGTAGGTCTCTAGGATACATTCTCTTCACAGCTATAGGCATAGCCTGACTTCTGGTAGTACAGTAGGTATCTTTTTCTTCAGCATCCTATGTAACCAGGATACCTTTCCTCAAGAACTTCATTTATAGCCGGAATTCCATCATTTAGGGTGTCTTTCTCTTCAAAGCTGCATGTACCCTGGATTTCTTCATTTCCCAGGTGTAGGTATAGCCTTCATTCCAACATTCAGTGTACTTTTCTCTTTAGAGCTGTAGCTATCCTTCCTTCTATAGCTTCATGTATAGCCTGACAGTCAGCACACCTTTCTACTGAAAGCTGTATGTATCCAGCATACGTTCCCTTCACAGCTGTAGGTATGTCTTGACTTCTGATAGTAAGGATACCATTTTCTTCAGAAACCTAGGTATTCAGGATAACTTCCATCAATAGCTTTAGTTTCAGCCTGACTTCCCACAGCGGTCAGTATCCTGAATATCTTCTCTATAGCTTTAGATATTGACTGACTTCGAACAGTCAGGGTACCGTTTGGTGTACAGGATGTCTTCCCTCTATATCTTTAGGTATAACCTGATTTTTCAATAGTCAAAGTACCTTTCCTCTCACAGCTGTAGATGCCTTCTGTTCACTACTGTAGATATAACCTGACTCCCGAAAGTCAAGGGATCATTCCCTCCAGAGCTGTAACACTTAAAGTATGAGTGTAAACAATCATGTAACCCTTTTAGATTTTATACTTCTCTTCAATTCCATGAAATAACTAATTTAGGTAAAAAAAAAAATGTATGGATTTGTTAGTTCTTTTTCTGTTTTTGTGATATAATGTTTAGGCCCATTTATAAAAGAGTTTCATTTGGCCCTTGGTTTCAGAGGGATACAGGATCACCATGAAAGAGACATGGAAAAAGTTGTCAGACATGACTTCTAAAGCAGGAATCTAATATTCACATTTTTAGTCTGAAGCATTGAGCAGAGGGCATGAACTGAAAATGGTGTGTTGATATAAATTTTCAAATCTTATTCTTAGTGACATATTTTCTTCAGAGCAGCACCATTTCCTGAAACTTCACAAATGTTACTAGCAACTTAGAATTCATTACTCTGACTTCAAGTGTACATGCATGCTTGTTGCGGGAGCTCCTTCCGCTCCTTCAGCCAATAGCTGCTGAGATACCAGCCCATTGGGGCGTGGTCACTCTCCCTTTAAAAAAAAAAAACAAAAAACAAAAAAACGGCCACATCTCTCCGCGCTCTCTCTCTGACTTCCAGCTCTGCTTCCCGCGACTAGGCTCCTTTCCTGACTGCAGAGGGCTGTTCTCTGGGACGGTGACCTGCAAGTTTTTCCGCTTTAAATAAATGACCATTCTATTAATCATAATTCCAAACTGGTGTGGGATTGTTTGTGACTTACGCCTTCACATGCTTTCTGTTATACGAACCAATTCTTAGTGAAGCAATACTCTATAAGTAAGCTGTTAGGTGCCTCAATGCCTGTTCCACAAGAATGAATGTTTACAAGAGAAAAACTTTCATGAGTGAAAATCTATTGTTGAAAGAGTTGCTGTAATTGTAATTATGTGTTGTGTGTGTCTAACAGTTTCTGTAATTGTAAGCATGTGCTGTGTGTGTGTGTGTGTGTGTGTGTGTGTGTGTGTGTGTGTTTAGATACATGAATGTGCATGCCGGCTTCTGGGAACATTAGAACCTAGGATCTTTTGTAGCAGGAATTAGAGATAGGTGTCAAAAATTGGATCTTGTTCCTGGAAATAAACATTTCTTTGTTTTTGTTTTGTGGTTTTTGTTTTTTGAGACAGGGTTTCTCTATAGCTTTGGAGCCTTTCCTGGAACTAGCTCTTTTAGACCGGGCTGGCTTTGAACTCACAGAGATCTATCTTCTCTGCTTCCTGAGTGCTTATTAACGGTGTGTGTCACCACCACCTGGTGGAATGTACGCTTCTTAACTTCTCCATTATTTTTCTAACTTTGTAAATATTTCAAAGTCTTTTTCTATCTACTTGACATCAGGAAATAGGGACAAAGTCATAAAAGAGACAAACCCTATTTAAATAAACCATTTGGTAAAGACTTTAGACATCACAGGTATCTTTATCTTTGAGAAAAAAAATGTTTCATTTATATTTCATCATAGAATTGGAGGAATTAAATTACCTTGTTCACTTAAGTCTAATGGTAGAGATATTGTGGTTTCTATTTTAAAACAGATACTGTAGTGTGCTACATGTGTGGCAAACCCATTTAATTGTGGGTCCATATTTCGATATGGCACAAAAGCTATTAGCTCGGTCTGAGCTGATCAGGTAGCTCTACAGACAAACTGTCTCTGCCTTAACAAAAGCCAGGATGTGCTCCTCCTAGCTTTCTTTTGTTAGAAATGTAGATCTCTTGAGGAGAGATGTTGACTGAAGCTGATGTCTTAAGAGTTTAGATATTTGGTGCTTCCTTCCTTTTGTAATTTGGAGGATGTCTTATAGAGATGCTAATTCAGGGCCTACCTGACTGCCAGATGCAGCCTTGACCTGAGTCCAGGCACCTGGTTGCCTAGGCAACAGCCTTTGTGTGTTCCTGCTCAATTTGGTGTGGGTATATAAGATGTTTGGAGAATAAAGGGGATTCTGGCTTTTTCCATGATGACGGTGTAAGCTGTGTCAGTTTTATTCCTCATGACTCCATTCCATCCGGGTGAGGGAATCTGTGTTGGACCCACACGGGCTCCAACATTTAATGAAGTTTATTTTGTGGTCCTCTGTTCCTTCTGAGACATTTGTTTATTTTAATATCGTGCTTATACTTAGTGATTCAAGTATCTCAGACAGTAGATTGATGTTCTATGGATATATACATATATATGTATGTATCCATGTGTATGCGTGTGTATACTGTGTGTGAGAGAGTGTTTATATATTTTTATACACACACACACAAATTTGATGCTTTATTCTTTTCCCTCTCCCTATTACTTAACCACTTGGTATTTCATTTTGAAGTACTGCCTTCTAAGGGAATTATCCAGAGATGCCAGATTATGCCTGGTGTAGGAGTTCCTTCTGTTTGTGTGTTGCTTTCATTGGTTAATGAATAAAAAACTGCCTTGGCCTAGTTGATAGGGTAGAACTTAGGTAGGTGGAGAAAACAGAACTAAATGCTGGGAGGAAGAGAGAAGCCATGGATCCTCTGCCTCAGACAGACACTGGTTAGAATCTTGCCGGTAAG